GCGTTCCGAGCCTCACGCAAGAGAGGTGAACTCGCCGCGGTGGAACAGCTAACACCGAGACCCTGGGGTCCTAGCAGAGGCCCTCCGGTGGCCCGTGCCACCCCGGGGCGGGCGAGCTCAACGGAGCAGGGCTTGGCAGGGGCAGAGGCGGGGATGAGCTGGGCCTCTGCGCCCCCGCGGCCCACAGCTGCCTCCCTGTCTGAATTCCAACGCCCACTGAGCTCCCCGGGCTTCGGGGTGCCCCGTGTCGAGCCCCGCTTGCTGCCCCAGGCGGAGAAGGCACTCTCTTCCCTGCTCTGTTTCTCGCTGAAGGCAGCCTTTGCTGTTTCCGGCCACAGGTGAGTGTTGCCCCTCTGGGCGGGCGCCGCGGGGAGCTCACCGGCGGCCGGGTCCCCTTGCCTGCAGTCCGTCCCGGGGCCTGTCGCCCCCACCCCACACTCTCTCTGTCCCCACGGGCTGGGTGGAGAACTGCCGGGGCCGGGGGGGGGGGGGTGGGGGGGGGGGGGGGGGGGAGTCCCCGGCCCGGCTGCCAGGCTCTGGGATCATGATGGGTGGTCCCCATGGGGGACTGGGGCCTTGCCGCCGCCCCTAGCAGGCTCCCAGCCCACTTCAGTCCCAGGGTAGGGGGTCACCCGGAGCGGAAGGAGGGCACCTGGAGCCCAGAGCTGGGAGCTATTCTATAACCCGGCCGCGGCGGCTCCAGCCCATGGACCTGACCTGTCTGGTGCCACTGGCCAAAGAGGACACAAGGTCACCCTCAGGCCTCGGCACCCCGGGACCCCCTTTCCCCACGCCTGGAGCCCCCTTGCAAAGTTGGTGCCGAGGCCCGCGAAGCACTCTCACCTCCAGTTCTTCCCCCCACCTTACCCCCCACCCCCGGGGCAGCTCAGGCCTCCTTTTTCCCTGCCCTGGAGGTGGCCAGCAGGCTCCAAGGTTAGGAGGGCCCAGCCTTCTTCTCGGGGCACCCCAGCTCACTCAGGCCATCTAGCTCAGCTCAGAAGGTGATTAAAATCTTCTGGGCCGTGATGCTCTCTGGACTCTGGGGCTGTTACCCCTTCCAGGGTCTGGGGAAGGAAGGCACGAGCTGCCTCTTCCCTGTCCTCCTCCAGGGCCCTGGGCTGGGGGTGGGGGTGGGGGCCGCAGCTCAGGGCCTTCCTGGGGAGAAGGAAGTAGGGGTCAGGAATGGCCAGGAGAGAGCCTAGCTGCTGGCACCCCCTGGTGCAGAGCGCTGGCTCCCATCCCCCAACGGTTCTGCCTGGGCCGACCATCCTCAAGGCCGTGGCCCTGGCCTGGCCGGGCCCTGCCCCCGCGTGGCCAGATTTAGAACCGAGAACAGGTCAGGCTTTGTAGAGTCCTGCGGAGAGAAAGGGCGAAGAAGGGGGGCTCAGAGGCCAGGCCAGATCCTAGCCCTGCCCTGCAGACGTTTGGGGACGTGGGGGAACAGGTATGGGCCGGCGGGGGCCACTGGAAGAGGGGCAGTTTTCATGTTGTGGACACTAAACAGTCGGAGGGCAGTTTTCAAGGCAAGCCAAGCCAAGCGTCAGGGACTCCCGTGACCGAGGCCGGGCACAGGGGACACGCACTGTAACGCGGGCTTCGGCCGTGGGCCAAGGGGCCCAATGGTCAGAGGCTGGTGACCTGTGGGCTACAGGGATACACCCTTCAGGACCCGGCTTTGTTGCTGGGGTCCAGGGTCCTTGACAGAGGACTTTTCCCGCCAGTCTTTGCCACAGCCTGAAGTCCGGCTTTAGCCAGGAGCTCTGCCCACCAGGGCCTTTCCAACAAGCAGGGGGGTGTAGCTGGAAACCCAGGATCAGATGCACTCTTTCAGGAAAGGGCCCGATTTGAGAGGGTGAGCAAGCCAGTCCTCAGTGCTGTCGTAAGCAGCGAGCAGGGGGGCCCCCAACTCCGGGACGCCCCGAGAAGCCCAGGAGTGCCTCTCGCGTGCTCCCAGGGTTCACTCTGTCCTCGACTAGAGGGTCCCTTTGCTTGGCTAGGACCCGTGCTTCGTGCTGGCTCTTAAGGCCCGACTGCCGGAGAGCTCTGAGTTGTGATGTGTGTGCATCTGGAGTGCAGGGCCCTGGCCTCCTAGCCGGCACCCAGCCACCCGCCCAGGCCCTCGGGGCCCCAGGGAGCCCCACTGGGGCTGGGAGGCAGGACCGGGCAGGTGGATGGGCCCCGATTCTCACTGCTTCCCCCCTCCCTGTTTCTCTCTGCGCTCCTGAAACTTGGCCCTGGGCTTTCAGGCACTCAGCCTTCGGGGCTCAGTTGGATTCGCGGTCAGGTTTTGACCTCCCGTTCCTGCTCAGAAAAGCTCTGAGTCGCTTAACAGAATAAAAGCACGTCTCCCTCAGTTTACGTCCGGAACTGCCCCCCAAGGGTCCAGACCACCAGTCCTTGCCCCGCCCCCATCACGGGAACACTGGATCAGGCTGAGATGAGGGTCTCCCTCTCTGGGCACATCCTCCTGCCCCACATGGGGTGGAGACGGCTCCCAGACTTGAGCAGCAGAAGGCTTGGAGACCACTGGGATGCTGGAGGACCATCTGGTTTGATTCCCACTCTAGAGAAAACGGAGGTGGCACCCAGCAGGGGACTCAGCGGAGACCCAACGCAGAAGCCCGTCCAGTGCAGGGCCCAGAGCTAGCTGGAGCCTTTGGTCTAGGATGCTGGGGCTGTGGGGCACAGCCTCCGCGGTGTTTGTCCTCCTCCTGGTGCCTCAGCTCCTGCCGGGGCCACAGGAGCCTCCCAAAACTCTGGGGTTAATGTTTCAGGCCCCCTTTTGCCCTTCATCCCACCCCAAGGCCAGGGAAACCAGCTGTGAGCCGGCTCACTTTAGGGGACAGAGGACACAGGCCCTGATCTCTGGCCCAGCAAGTTCACCCGTGGAGTGGCAAGGCTGTTCCCTACGCGGCTCTCAGCGCAGGTCTCCCAGTGCACAGGGGGCCCCTTCTCAGGACTGGGTCCTGACTGTGTCGGGGCGCTGGCCGCCAGCGCTTCCCAGGAATGTGAGCCATGTACTCGATTTCCAACAAACCCCAGGTATTTGGAAGCCTACTTCCTCCCGAGGCAGGAGGACTGGGTCCCTTGCGGTCGGGCAGCCTCTTGGGAGGGTCCCCGGAGATTTCGCTGCCCTGGCTGGGACAACTATCCCTCAGGGGCACAGGCGCAGGCGTCTGCGCATTTGCGGGGCGTAATCAGAAATTCGTCTTGTTTTGTTTTGTTTTTCATGCGAGAGATTGCAGCTGTGGGCCTAAACTCCCCAGCTGAGCTCCCTGGGGCGGAGTTCGGTCCCAGGACCCCTGGCCCAAACGGGCTCTCTCCAGGGAGCGCAGGAAGCCCCCAGATGCGGCTTCCTCCGCGGCGCGCACAGGGGGCCCGGCCGAGCGGCTGGGTGAGCGGCCAGGCTCCCGCAGCTGCGCGCGGACTCCGGCTACCGCCGCGCGAGCCACAAACGGAATCGGCTTCCTCGCCGTTTCTCTCCATCCCAGACCTTTCAAAATCCGCCAACGAATGTGGTTGCGGGTTCGCGCCGATCCCGAGCCCCGCGCTCACCCCGCGCCGCTTGGAGCGGGGACTTGGCGCCGCGCTCACCCCCGGGGCCGCCCGCCTGCGCGCCGGGAGCAGCTTCGTTCCACCGAGCGCCCGCGCCCAGCAGCGCCCAGAGCTCCGCGCGGCGGAGGTGGCGCGGTGGTCCCGCAGAACGCTGCCCGCGTGGACGCCGCCGCCTCCTCTTGCTCCCGGTTCCGGCCGAGCTCCGGCAGGGCCCGGGGAGCAACGAAAACCGCGAGCCGAGTCGCTTTCCCGGAGGCGGAACCCCGGGAACCTCTGGGTGGGCGCCCGCCCTCCGCTTCCCCCAAAGCCCCAGAGGCAAGGACAGTGACGCAGCGCCCGGATAACTGAGCAGACTCCCCGGGTCAGCTTGCGCCCCTTCACCTGTCGGCTTGCAAAGCCCCCTCCTCTCCGTCCTCTCCGCTGTGGTCCCCGCCCCCACAACAAGGACCCTCTTAGTTTGGAAACCAAATGTCGCCTTTGCTCCTGCGGGCTCGACACACCAGAGCTGTAACCTTGGAAAAGCTGCGATGGGTTGCTTCTTCCCGCCTCAGTTTCCCCATTTGTGAAGTGGGGCCAAATCCTGGGCCCCTCCCACAGGTTTATGTGGGGCAGGTTGGAGAACTGATGGATGGAGCCCCCAGGCGGGGCTTGCGCACGCAGCCCACCCCTTGGGGCGCGTTTGCGCCAGGAGGCTCAGAGCTGGTGCCCAGGAGCCCCGGGTTGCCCTCGAGCAACTCTGGCCGGTCCTGCCTTGTGCGTCCCCAGCCGCGTCCCAGAACTGCCCTCCCCGAGGCTCCGTGCAGGTGGTGTGAAGGCCCAGTTCGGCGGCCGGAGTCTCCTCTCTGCCCCTGCCTGGGTTTTGCTCGCCCGACCGTTCTCTCGGGTTCCTCGGGGCCAGGGTGCAAGGAGGCTTAACACGCCAGGGTCCAGCTCGTCTGGTGGTACCACCAGCACCCCAGGCCCCGCAGAGGGAGGGTCCTGGGGCTGCCAGGGAGCGGAGACCGGCGACAGGGGCCCGAGTCCCTGCTCAGTTCCCAAGGGGGACTACGCCCCCCCCTCCTCCTCCCCTCGCTGCGGGTGCTGGGGAGATCCGGTGCGTCCAGAGCTGGAGTGTCCCGGCCGCCGGCGCGTCGGGGCGGGACCCTTAGGGCGTGTCCCTGCGGTGCTCTTCCCGGCTGAGTGGTGTCCGGAGGGGCTGGGGCTGGGGAACCAAGGGGAGGGGGCATGGCCTGAGCCAAACTTCCAGACCACGCACTGCTCTGGGCAGGACTGCCGCCGCCAGGGGAGCTGGGGAGGGGAACTGGGGCGACCGAGAAATGCTCAGGGGGACACTCCCTCCCCTACACCCCTTTGCTACTTCTAAACCCGTAATGGGGGTGGGAGGGGGTGGCTGGTGGAGACCAGGACCGCTTCTGGGGAAGGCAAAAATTGACCTCCCCTGCTGAGGACCCCGGAGGTGGATGGAATCAGTCATGAGTCCTCCCTCCCAGGACAGAGCCTCCTGCCCTTGCCCCGGGTGCTGGTGCCCTGACGCGGGGCTCTGGAAGGGAGCAGGACCCATGCCTGTCTCTGCTCTGGTGCCTGAAGCACAGGGCCTGCTGCTGTCCAGCTCCACTCCCCGACCCCCCCCCCACCCTCCCCCTGCATCCCACCCCACCCCTGTCCTTGCCTCCTGCCTTCTGGAGGGAGCTCCCATGAAGGAAAGGGGCCAGCCCCATGCCCCCTGCAGCCCAGGCAAGTCCACAGACCCCCCCTGGCCTGGGGCAGGGTCCTGGCCTTGAGTGGCTCCCCATTCATGGGACAGACCCCCGCCCCCACCCCTCCAGAACAGCAGAAGTGTAGGGTGAGGGGAGCCGAGAGAGCCCAGTGGAGGGTGAAGGCGGGAAGAGCCTTAGCCGAGTCAGACCCCACTCCCTCTGGGACCCTGAGTCTGTCCCCCAGCTTCCTGGGCACCCCAGTTTCCTAATGTGTAATTTGGGGGCCACCGAGCCAGAGGTATTGTGGAGAGAGCTGCACGCAGACCCCACTGGCCCCTCTGGGTGGTGGCAGCTGTCATCAGCAGGGATCTATGCGCCCTCTGACCTCTCAGGTCTGTCATTAGGGACTCTGAGCTGGAGTCATGGAGAGGAGCTGCTCACTGGCTGGCCGGACCCGGAGGGCGAGTGGGCCAGGCCAGGGCTCCTGGGAGGCTCGGGGCGCACGGAATCCCCAGGTCTCAATGGGCTCCCAGAGTCAGGCCCCGCCCTCTGGCCCCGGACCTGCCCTGGTCTTCTCACGGGTGCACCCCTGCCCTCCGTGAGGCCAAGGCTCTGGGACCAAGCTGCAGACCTAGCATTCACTCGCTCACTCATTCGTTCATTCGCTGCCGTGGCCAGAGGCCCCCCCGGAAGGCGGAGTGCTCCCGGAACTTACCAGGTGCTGTTTGCCCCTGCAGCCTCCGGGGCGGCTCAACAAAGCCCCAGGGTTATCTCCAGCTCGCGTGGGGCTCAGTGAGTGAAAGAACGAGTGGCGAATGAATGAAAAGCACCGAGTGCGAAGAAAGTGGCTCTGAGATCTGATTTCGGTCCAGAGGCCCAAGGGGACGAGGGGCAACCTTACCAGACGTCACCCGTTCTGAGTGCCGGAGGCCGCGTGCCCTGTCCTGCACCTGTCCCGACTCGCACAGGCCGCCAATGCTGGGCCCACATGACAGGGACACAGCAGTGAACAAGCACCCGGTCCCCTGCTGCATCGTGTGTGGGAAAGGAAGCCAGCTTGCTCGAGGTTGGGGTGGGGGGGGCTCCGCGGGATGATGGGGGCAGGGGGTGACGGCGGCAAGAGAGAAACTGGCCCCATGGCGGTCCCTGGCTTGCCGTGACGGAGCGCGGGCGGTGCCGGGGCTCCTGGGCCAGGCCACCGTGTGACCCTCGCGACAACGCGGCAGGAACTGCAATTGTTCGCACCTTACGGACGGGAGACCCGCGCTGGGAGGCACAGGGGCTCGTCAGAGGGGCAGGAGAGCGGGGTTCATCTGCCTGACCGCCGAGCCCTACGGTGCTGGTCGCCAGGGTGGGCGCGTGAGAGGCGCTGCTTACAGAGGGGTCTCTGTCTGGGACCCTTTCTGGGATTCCTTGTGGTGCCCGGGATGTGAGCCCCAGAGGGCGCGCTGGCACGACGGTCACCCGCCTGCTCCTGGCGGTGGCCAAGGCATTTATTTGTGGGCGTCCCGAGAGACGGAGCCGTTTGTGGTACGTGTTTCCCCAGAGTCCGGTTCCCACTGGGGAGTCGGGGTCCCCCTTTCCTTCCCAACACCCGCCCCTGGGGCCGTTCCACGGCGGCCCCCGCGGGCCAGGCCCCGTACCCCAGCCGGTGGCTTTGGGGACTCCGCGTGGGGCTGACTAGTCATGCTCTGTATCTGGGCCTCCGCGGAGATATTTCCAATCGTAAAATGTGTCGTTCAAAAAACATATGTGTCAGTGGAGTCCTCGCTGAGCCTGGACCACATGGGACATAGTTGTTCTAATAAACACGAATGGGCCAGTGTTCACATTAGAGAGGGAGCAGTTTCTCGTGGAAAGGCGGTGCTTTTAACAGAGGCTAATTAATAAACAGCGGGTAATTGTTCGTGGCACATTGTGGCAGAGAGTAATTTTCGTTTCAGAGGGTAGAAGGGCCAAACCCCCCTCCCCCCTCAGCCCTTCTGTGTAATAACCACCTTGGCTTCACCTCTGCCTTGAATTTTTACAGCTGGAGCTGTTTACCATCTTCCAACTCTCACGAAGAAAGCAAAAACTATCACTTAGACACAGCCATTGAAAATCAGCATCGTACGTGGATTTCTTCACGTAAATAAATCACACGAAGCGAGACTCGTGTTCTCCGAGTGACGTCATCCGCTGAAGGCCGCCTCCCCCGTCAGATCAGCGTTGGGCGCTTTCCTCCTCGTGCGGGCGCCCTTTTCGCAAGACCAGGGCCCGGCCTCGGGCTCGGCCCGGGACGCCGGAAAGGTCCCTGCCTGGGTCAGCCCGGCACGACCGGGTCCAGAGGGCGGAAACAGTTCCAACTCCACAGACTGCTCGGAAGCTTTGCTTTGGAACCATAGGTTCTGAGGTTGAAAGGCCGTGAACGCGTCCGGAAGAAACGTGTGCAGCGCCCAGCGGAAGGTGAAGGCCCTTTGGGTCCTTCCGGAGCCGACGGTGACGCTGGCTGCGGCGTCATCCCCTTGAAATGAACGAGGAACCGGAAAATCACCGGGAAGGCTCCCAGGAGATGTGGCGCATTTGGCCACGAGAAGGGACAAAGTCCTGACCCGTGCCACAACGCGTATGACCTCGGAAACATTATTCTCGGTGAAAGAAACTAGTCACGAGGCCACGTGTTGTCTGGGTCCATTTACAAGAAGCGTCTAGGACAGGAAAGTCCGCAGAGACAGAAGGTGGAGGGGTGGCTGACGGGGGCTGGGGGAGGAGTGGGGGGGGTGACTGTTGACGGACGTGGGTCTCCTTCTGCTGGGTGAGGACCGTGTTCTGGAACCAGCTGGCTGTACTCAATGCTATCACACCGTTCGCTGTAAGACGGTAAATGTTATGCTGTGTGGACTGGATCTCAATACATCCGTTATTTTGCAAAGTCACCGCTGAGCGTGCACGTTTCAAACCTCCGCGCCCATCTCGAAACCCTTATTAAATTCGGGACTGAGCACACAGCAGGTAGGGCAGGTGACGGGGGTGTGCTCCCCGTGAAGGGATCCGTGAGCGCTGGCCAGGCACCTCGGTGAAGCCTAAAGGCACGGCCCCTTTCCTCGGGGCTGGCTGTGCGGCCCCTTCCCCTCAGTCTGTCTCCTTCCCACCAGCCCGGAGGGAACCCCTACCCGGCATTTTGCGTTAAGCATCTCCTTGCCTCAGTTTACAGCGTCTTCACCCAACACAGGTGCAGAGTCGAGCTGCAGCGTCCGTTCAGCACGAAAATGAGTGAGACGCATTAAAATCACCATAAAAGGGCAGGGGAGGCATGATCCGTCCACACCACGGATTATCGTTTGGCCACTGAAAAGGGCACTGACGTAGCTGTGACACGATGAACCTTGCAGACGTGATGCGCGGCACGAGAAGCCGGTCGCAAAAAGCCACGGGTCCTACGACTCTATATGACGTGCCCAGAGGGGCGCCCGGGTGGGTCAGTCGGTTAAGCATCTGACTCTCGATTTGGGCTCAGGTCATGATCTCACGGTTCGGGAGATCGAGCCCTGTGTCGGGATCGGCGCTGACGGCACGGAGCCTGCTTGGGATTCTCCCTCTCCCTCTCCCTCTCTCTCTCTCTCCACCCCTCTTCCCACCCACCCCTCAAAATAAATAAACATATTATACAAAGTCTCCAGAATAGGCAAATCTGTAGAAACAGAGAACAGGTTGCCGGTCGCCAAGCTGCGGAAGGAAAGGCAGTGGCGTCGCGCGCGGGTGAAGGTCTCAAGGGACGAGCCAGACCCGAGTCTTAAGACCCTCAGTTGGAAGCCGGGGGGAAATAAGGCTGAGCACTCACGGCCCCGGCCCTTCTGTTAATTCAAGCAGCCCACATTCACCGCATGCCTAGTGTGTGCTGGTGTGGCCAGAGGCCCGTAGATGTAGCCGTGACCGAAACAGGTAAAAGGCGTCCCCGCCGTGGAGCTCGTGTTCCCGTGAGGAAGGCAGCAGAAGCAGGCTGAGACCCTGTCCAGCAGGTTCAAAGTCTCTGTGCGACTTGGAGGATACTCAAGGAGGGAAATGAGGAGACGGCCAAGACACGAGAGAGTCAGAAGGGAACACTGTGAGTGTCTAGGGAACAGCATTAGGGCAGAGGGAACAGCCAGTGCTGAGGCCCTGAGGCACAAGTGGTCAAAGTGGCTGGAACACAAGGATGGAGGGAGGGGATCAGTTCGGGGGCGCGGGGGGCAGGGGCGAGGCGGTGCAGGTCAAGGCTACAGATGGGGTTAAGACTTTTAATCAGTCTCCCTTTCTCCCTTTCTCAAGGTTGGTTGTCCTGTATTAGTCTGTGGGCTCAACGTAATCGCAACGGACCTTAAAGTGGTGAAGGGAGGGGCGCCTGGGTGGCGCAGTCGGTTAAGCGTCCGACTTCAGCCAGGTCACGATCTCGCGCTCCATGAGTTCGAGCCCCGCGTCGGGCTCTGGGCTGATGGCTCAGAGCCTGGAGCCTGCCTCCGATTCTGTGTCTCCCTCTCTCTCTGCCCCTCCCCCGTTCATGCTCTGTCTCTCTCTGTCCCAAAAATAAATAAACGTTGAAAAAAAAAAATGGTGAAGGGAGGCAGAAGGATTCAACCGGCTTTGAATGTGGAAGGGGGCCCCGAGCTAAGGAACGCGGGTGGGCTTCTGACGCTGGTTCTAGACCGTCCCCGGAGGGAGGCACGCCTGCCGATACCTCGGTTTTCGCCTGGTGTGACCCCTTTCAGACCTCCCATCCGCAGAACCGCAAAATGACAAAGGGCGCCGTGTCGGGCCACTGAATTTATGGGATTTTGTTGCAGCGGCCACAGGAAATTCTCACGGGGCAGGAGGGGAGGCGGGAAGTTCACACGTGGTCAGGACAAGGCGAGGGACCGTGACCGCAAGGGTGCTGGCACACCCGGCCCCTTAGTCACTCTACTCGGGTAGGGACTGGGAGTCCTCAACATCTGCCTGCAGCCATGGCCCTGGGGCTGCTGCCCCTACTGTCCCCTGGGGGGCGTCCGCTGGGCTCTTGCTCCCCCGGCACCCACATCGTCGTGGCCTACTTTCTCATTAAAAAAAATTTGGGGGGGGGGGGTGGCGCCTGGGTGGCTCAGTCGGTTAAACATCCGACTTCGGCCCAGGTCATGGTCTCACGATCCGTGTGTTCGAGCCCTGAGTCAGTCTCTGGGCTGGCAGCTCAGAGCCTGGAGCCTGTTTCGGATTCTGTGTCTCCCTCTCTCTCTGACCCTCCCCCGTTCATGCTGTGTCTCTCTCTGTCTCAAAAATAAACGTTTAAAAAAATAAAAAAAAATTATTTATTTTTGAGAGAGGGAGAGAGAGAGACAGAGCATGAACGGGAGAGGGGTGGAGCTAGAGGGAGACACAGAATGGGAAGCAGGCTCCAGGCTCTGAGCTGTCAGCACAGAGCCCGACAGGGGCTCGAACTCACGAACCGTGAGATCATGACCTGAGCCGAAGTCGGACGCTCAACCGACTGAGCCAGCCGGGCGCCCCTATGTTCTCATTTTTCTGGGGCACATCCTCTAGGAACTCCCGATAGACTGGGAGGTACATCTTTTAGGACCTGCATGTCTGAAAATCCTTCATTCTTCCTCCACACGAGTGAAAACCTGGCCGGGCGTGGAATTCGAGCTTGGAGATGCTCGTCATCCAGAATTGTAAGATTATCTTCTTGCTTCCAGAGGCGCTGTGGAAAAGTGAAGACACTCTGTCCCCTTGTGCTTTGGGTACAACGTGCTTTTTCTTTCTGGGAATCTCATAGAACCTTCTCTTTGTCCCAAGTGTCCCACTCGGTGGAGCATCAGACCAATGTGTGCTGGGGCGCTGGGGCGCTGGGATGTTGGGGTGCTGGGGCTCTGGAGTGCTGGGATACTGGGACATTGGGGTGCTTGGATGTTGGGGTGCTGGGGCTCTGGGGTGCTGGGGTGTTGGGGCGCTGGGGTGCTGGGCTGTTGGGGCGCTGGGGCGCTGGAATGCTGGGGTACTGGGACATTGGGGTGCTGGGGCACTGGGATGTTAGGGTGCTGGGGTGCTGGGATGTTGGGGTGCTGAGGCTTTAGGGTGCTGGGATGTTGGGGCACTGGGATATTGGGACATTGGGGCATTGGGGCACTGGGATGTTAGGGCGCTGGGGTTCTGGGCTGTTGGGGCATTGGGGCTCTGGGGTGCTGGGATGTTAGGGCGCTGGAGTGCTGGGATGTTGGGGTGCTGGGATGTTGGGGCACTGGGGCTCTGGGGTGCTTGCATATTAGGGTGCTGGGGCGCTGGGGCAATGTTATGTTGGGGTGCTGGGTCTCTGGGGTGCTGGGATGTCGGGGCGCTGGGGCGTGTCTGCTCTCCTCCAAGGGGGCCTCTTTCAAACTGGGAGCTTGTGTCCCTCAGTTCTGGGGAATTTCCGTGAAATCCCTCGTTGCGGATTTTCTGCCCTCTGTTACCTCCGCTCTTTGTTCTTGGAATCCGAAGGACAGTAAGAAGTTTTCTTCTGTCCACGTGGTCTGTGTGTCCTCCAGCCGGCTTTGTTCTAGTCGTTTTAGTCTCTGCGAGTTCATCTTCTGCCACTGCTCTGATCTGAAGCGGGGGGCACAGAGCTGGTTGGAAGATGGAGGTAAGGGAGGGGCTCGTCACCCTTGGCGCTCATAGCGGGGTGATCCTGGCAGCACTCGATGTCAGCGTCTTTAGGGACGGGTCTGATGCCCAGGCAAGTTCTCCAGGGGCTGAGGGGGGGCCAGCCGGTACTCTGGGAGCCAAGTTGGGGTGTCTGCAGTCGGGTGGCGGGTCACGGCTGCCTGTGTGCCGGGGCAGAGGCCTTTGGACTGCTGCCAACCTGGGGAGGGGAGGGAGGAGTGCGTCCAGGAATCCTCTCCCTCTCAGCCGGCCTTCCCGCCCACAGCCGTTCCTGCCCCCCAAGTCTCAAGCTTGCTTTTATGGCCAATCCTGGGTTTGGGGCGCTCTTTGTATTAAATCCGGTGAAAGCCGGGCACCTGGGTGGCTCAGTGGGTTGAGCCTCCGACTCTCGATTTCGGCTCAGGTCATGATCCCAAGGTCGTGGGATCAAGTCCTGTGTCGGGCTCTGTGCTGAGTGTGCAGCCTGTTTAAGATTCTCTCTCCCTCCGTCTCTGTCCCTTTCCCCGGCTCATGCTGCCTGTCTCTGTCTGTAAAATAGAAATGAAGTGAAGTGAATGAAGTGAAGTGAAGTGAAGTGAAGTGAAGTGAAGTCAAATGAAATTAATCCTGTAGGTGCCCACCTTCCCTCTCTCGGTCCGGGGCCGTCTCTCCCTCTCGTCCATGAGCCAGGTGCCATGGGTCCCTCTGCAAGGGGGTCTTCAGAGACTTGCCGCTGCCCTGCCCTGCCCTGTCCTCACCACTCCCATGGGTAGATGTCTTTTAAAGTCTCCTTTTTTGTGCGGTTGGAGTGGGCGTTGCAGAGTGGGGACGATAGGTGTGTTTAATCTGCTGTCTTCACCCGGAGTCTTTTGTGGCCATTTTTTTATTTCTTTTTTTTTTTTTTTATATGAAATTTATTGTCAAATTAGTTTCCATACAACACCCAGTGCTCATCCCAAAAGGTGCCCTCCTCAATACCCATCACCCACCCTCCCCTCCCTCCCACCCCCCATCAACCCTCAGTTTGCTCTCAGTTCTCAACAGTCTCTTATGCTTTGGCTCTCTCCCACTCTAACCTCTTTTTTTTTTTTTCCATTTTTTTATTTCATTTTGTCCTTTTAGTTTTTGCACGCTTATATTAGAAAGGCTGTGTCCACTTTAGATCCGGGTTTAACACCGTGTGGGCTCCACAGGCTCTGAGGTTTTCTGGGTCCTGACCTGTGAGTCCCCTGGAGCCCCCGCCCCCTTGAGCCGTGTCCGTGGGGTCCATACGCGGACTGCTGTGCAGACAGTGAACCTGACGGTGTAGACACATGCGTGTTGCCACCACTGATATGACCCTGAAACACGGGGGGGTGGGGGCTTTAGGAATACGAATTGAAATATTAACAGGAGTCTAATCTGAGTGATGAGATTTCAGGGTTATATTATATCATAACTCCTGGGGGGACAGGCTCTTCCTCTCGCACCTCTGCCTTCTCCCTCCTGACACCAGCCTCCCTGAGCCCACGTGGGTCTGATCGGATTCCCCCTCATCCAGTGCCCCACTCATCACTACGTGGACAATTTGCTTTGTATTTGAGATTTTACTCACTTTTTACCTGAGGCTCAACCCTGAGGGCTGCTGGGGGCTGTAGTTGTTCCCAGGTCCTTGCCTTCCCTTTGTCCCGGACCC